TGTCGCCTTTCAACCGAGCCGCTGGCGCGCGCTTCAGACTGCGTGGCACCCCGATCCGCAAGTACCAGCCCGGGGCGAGATATGGAGAGAGAGAGAGAGAGAGAGAGAGAGAGAGAGAGAGAGAGAGAGAGAGAGAGAGAGAGAGAGAGAGAGAGAGAGAGAGAGAGAGAGAAAGAGAGAGAGAGAGAGAAAGGAAAGAGAGGATAAAGAGAGAATGAGAGAAAGAGGGCAGAGGAAAGGGAGCAGAGGGGGATTTTTATATATATATAGAGAGGAGAGAGAGAGAGAGAGAGAGAGAGGAGGATAGGGGAGAGAGAGAGAGAGAGAGAGAGAGAGAGAAAGAGAGAGAGAGAAAAGAGAGAGAGAGAGAGAGAGAGAGAGAGAGAGAGAGGGAGGGGGAGAGAGAGAGAGAGAGAGAGAGAAAGAGAGAGAGAGAGAGAGCGAGAGAGATTTATAAATGAACACATAGCCATACATACATACATACACGCAAATGTTTGCACGCACACACACACACATATATATATATGTATATACATATATAGAACGATACATAGCAGAAAAAACGACGTCCACCATGACATCATTGTTGGCGCCCCTGAACTTGAAACCAGGCTGCGCGCGCGCGCCCGAAATAGCGATGTGGGGCACTTGTGGGCCGTGGGGCCCCGCTCTGTGACGTGGGCAAAAGAAACGGAAGCGTCGGTCTGGCTGGTGCCTCGGCGCTGCTGCAGGGACTGAGGCTATAATGTGCCGTGATGGAAAATCGAGCGTGCTCCGTCGCATCCCGTGAAGGGAGGGCGGGCCCCCCCGAGCACAGGCGGGTTCCCGCCCCTCCTGCGCGCAGAGGGGGCCGGGCCCGAAGAAGGCCCCGGGGGTGGGCCCGCCGGCCCGGGCGTCTCCCCGAGCCTTGAGGCACGAAGGTCTTCGCGAGCATCCAGCTCCTGCCGAGCAGCTCCAAAAGCGCGCGCTCCTTCGTGGGCGGCCCGGCCATCCCCATTGGGGCCCCGCAACATGCATGCGAAGGAGTAGGCGAATCTATCCAGCAACGTCCCGTTGCCGCCCATCGGTGGCCGAGCCGCGCGGCGTGCACTAATTCCGCCGACTCGACGCCCCCCGCGAAGAACACCGCGAACGAATCCACCCTGAAGCACTTGTATATCAACAGGGGTGCGCCGAACCGCGCGCCAGTGACTGGCGCCGCTCGAAGCGCCTCGAAAAAAAGCGGGATTCGCAGCCGCCGCCTTCGCACAGATGAAGGGGGCCTGAAGAGACTGGGGAAGACCAGCACGAGCAGCGCCAGCAGCCGACTCTGCAGGTGCATCAGCGGCCATCTCTTGGGCTGCGCGGTCGGCTGCTGCGATGGACTCGACCTGGCTGCCCCGCCAAATTCGACGGCTTCATCAGCAGTGGCAGCGGGGTCGGTCTTGCGCTTCTACTTGGGGGCCGCGGGCGCGGCATTCGCATTCTTGGGCAATTCCTTGAACTCGGGCTCGCGCTGCTTGGCCTGCTCGCCCGCCAGCTGGAGTTTTTTTTTTTTTTTTTTTTTTTTTTTTTTTTTTTTTTTTTTTTTTTTTTTTTTTTTTTTTCTTTTTTTTTTTTTTTTGTTGTTGTTGAAATCCTTGAGTTTGGCCTGTTCAGGGTCCTCTTTTTCCTGAAGGTCCTAGAACATGGAGGGGCCCTCGCCAAGGACGGACCCCCCTCTTGAGTCTCCAGGCTGTCGGGCGCAGCACCCTGACCTTCAACTTTCCCAGTGGCTTCTTTCGGTAATAGCTTCGCCTCGAAGAGCTCCTCGGCTGCCAAGAGATGAATTGGCCCGCGTCTTGTCGAGCTTGTCCTGTTTCTGGGCACGGGTGGTAGCCGTCTCTAGCAAACGAACCTAGGGGAACTTGGGCATTGATCTCGGTGCAGCACCCTCAGCCTTCTCCTTGAGCTTCTGGGCGAGCCCAAGCATGGCGGAGTCTGAGGACAAGTCGGCCGTTTCGAGGTACAGCTGGTGAAGACCAGCTGAGGCTTGCTGCTTGGGCGCCGTGCTGGGAAACGCAGGCCCCTGGTTCTGATCGAACTTGTCGCGCGTGGAGTTGCGCGCCCAGGGAGCCTTCTGCCAAGACTTGCCCTGCAAGACATAATCATAGGGTGCCTGGCAGATCTTGCAGGTGCCGTTCTGTTCGGAAATGCGCCAATTCCAAGCCGAGTCGATGGCATCCGCTGTGGCAGTACAGCGAGCGAAAGGGGAAGACGCCGACCGTTGGGGCGGAACAGCGCGCAGCTCGGGTCAGTGAGCACTGGCCGAATGTTGACACCAGCCGCGGGTCAGCGGTGTCCAGTTGCTTCACAAATGAATCTACCACCTGGAGCCAACACTGCTACGGAGGAGGAGGAGGAGGAACACGGGGGGGGGCAAAGGAGAGTTGGAGGCATTGCAAACTCGTTGTTGCATCTAGTTGTGTAGATGTTAGGCGCACTTGTACCCCATGGAACGGGATGTATGTTCGTGCTTGTTCAATAAGAGGTATCGTGTTGCTTGATCTGTTTTTTTGAGGCCTGTCCATCTCCGGATATGGGGTTGGTCAGGGACGTGCAGCTCGCGCGAACAACTACCGCAATTCATCTCATCCCTCCTCCTCTTTTCTGGCACTGGGCTCTTCGGAGGCACGCCGCATTTTCAGTACTAGTCTTCCTCCTTCTCCTTCTCCGCCTTCTGCCACTGCATCGCTCAGAGACACAAGGCGGGCGTCCATAATTCACAAGTAATGCTGCCGCACCTCGTCCTCATTCTGCTGCAACCACTCCTAATCATATCCTTCCAAATCCTCTCCCAGTCTTCATCCTTGTCCCCTTTCGTTCTCTCCCCTCCTCGTCGTCGTCGTCCTCCTCCCCCCCCTTATGCTTCTCCCCCCTCCCCCTTCTCCTCCCCCTCATCATCTTTTCCACCACCCTTTCCTGTTTCTTATAAACAACTTCTCCTTGTCGGCACTAAGACGTGCTGGTCGGGCGGGCAAGGCGTTTTGCCTGAGACCCCCTCGCCGTTCATGATGTTGAAACTTGAAACTTACAACCGTGTCACGGATGAATGGCGGGTTGTTTTCAACATGTGGCGCCCGCTTTCGCGCCGCACACGTTCACCTTACATGTTTGCCAGTCCTATGGATGGAGGGCGGGCCCTTTTCAAAATGTCGCTCTCGCCTGGGCGTCGCGCGCATTCGCCTTAAACACTTGCAACAGCTTTAACGATGTATGGCGTTTTTTCAAACTGTAGCTCCTGCTTGGGCGCCGCGCGCATTATTTTTAAACGTTCGAAGCCGCTTCCATACAGAAGGATGGAGGGCAGGTGCTTTTCAACATGTAGCTCTCGCCTGGGCGCCGCGCGCATTCGTCTTACACGTTTACAGCAGCTTCAAAGACGGAAGACGTCCTTTTAAAGATGTCGCTCTCGCCTGGGCGCCGCGCACATTCGTTTTAAGAGCTGCAGCAATTCTAAAATATAGGGGCCGCATCCTTTTCAACATGTCGCTCCCGCCTGAGCGCCGCGCGCATCCGTCGTCAATTTCAAACATTCGTATGGGTGAAATCCCAGAAATGGTGTTCTCACACGATTGGGGATTGTCAAACCACAACCGTACAATTGGTGTGAGGTGTTGAAGTCCCAGGAACGGTGTTCTGGCAAGAGGTCGGATTGTCAGGACGCAGCAGTCACGTGCATTCGCGGCGTTGAAGTCCCAAGAATTGTGCTTTGCCACGTGTGAGGGTTTTCGGACGGTTGTCTTCCAATGGGGCACTTCCCGCATTGTAAATGAATTCGTGTAGAGACGTAAGAAGAGGCAGCTTACTTGGATGCAGGGTTTACAGCAAAATCGTTGATGCGTCTTCGGCTTGCACTTGCGATCGTCCTTCTCCTCCTCCCCCTTCTCCTCCTCCTCCTCCTCCTCTTCCTTCTCATCTTCCTCTATCTTCCCCCAGTCGCAAAGATGTACGACGCAGGCCCAGTCACCATCAACCTCCTGCTGCAGGTGCTGCTGCTCGTCGTCATCGTCGTTTCCCCCTCCTCGTCGTTCTCCTCCTTCGTCTTCGTCCCCACAGTCCCTCTTGGGCCCCCCTCGCACCCCTTCGAAACCACCAAAGGCTTGAGCCCGAACTGATCCCCTGACGCCTCTTCCTGCCTCCCTCCCTCCTCGTCTTCTTTCTCCTCCGGCTCCCGCTGCTCTCGTTCCTCCTGCTTCTTCTTCTTTTTCTTCTTCCTCCTCCCTCCTCCTCCTGCTTCCTCCCTCCCTCTCTCTTCTTCTTCTTCTTCCTCCGCCTCCCCTCCTCCTCCTCCTCCTCCTCCTCCTCCTCCTGCTGCGCGAGGGGGTGGGGGAGGGACAGGGTGTCCCAGGCACGCGCACCGGTGGCAGCAGGGGGTGCGAAACCACTTCCACTGGCATCGCCCAGATTGGGGCGCCATCGGGGCGTCGAAACAAGACCTGTCTCCCACAATAGCCTTCTACTGGGACCCAGCGCGCAGAGAACGACAACAGAGCTACGCAGAGAGGCGGCCGCCTGCTCCTCTTTCTCCTGCTCCTCTCCCTTATCCGTATCATTATTCTTCTTATTCCTCCTCCTCCTCACTCTTCTTTCTTCTTCTTCTTCTTCTTCTTCTTATTTTTTCCTCCTCCTCCGCCTACCCCCCCGCCCCCCCCCCCTCGGTCCCACAATCGAGCTTGTCATTTCCCTGGGTGGACGCTGCGGAGCCGATGCAACCGCCTCCTCGGCCCTGCACTCCTTTGCTCAAGGACCCGTGCCCGTGGGCACAACATGCAATCCTCTACGGACAACACCTACCTACCTACCTACCTACCTACCTACCTACCTACCTACCTACCTACCTATCCACCTCGTCGTCGTCGTCGTCGCCGTCGCTGTCGTCGGGGAGTCGCTCTCGTCGTCGAGGCGCCCCCCTCGTCGTCGGGGCGTGCCCACCGAACTGTCTCCTCCTCCCCCTCCTCGTCGCGGCGCCGCCCCGCCTGCTGGCTCTGCTGCCCCTGCTGCTGCATCTGCTGCAGCAGCGCCTCGTCGTCGGCCTCCTGCCTCGAGAGCGGCGCGCGCGCGCGCGCGGGCGAGGAGATCTCCGGGGTCGCTCGGAGGCTTTCGGAGACCTTCGGAGATCGGCGACCGAAGATCTTCGGGCATGCCCGCATGCTTTCGGAAATCTTCGAAGGCCCCTGGGAGTTTCCGGGAGATCCAGGACGTCCCGGGCGGCAGTTCCTGGAGGGGGGCGGGGAGGAGGAGGGGGTGGGGGGGAAGGGAGAGGGGAGGGGTGATGAGGAGGAGTGGGGTACGAGGACAGACAGATAGACGGCGCCTTGGAAAGGTCGGGAGGCGAATGCACCGGAGGCTTAGATCGGGGCCTCCGGATCGATGGGTCTCTCCAAGGGTCTGCTTCGCTTCCTCCGCAGTCTTAACGCGAACAACGAAGGCCACGACTCGCTGCTCATGTACTTGGGCAGCTTGCTTACCAGAGGCAACTATAGGAGCGACCGTATCGTAATGTGAGTTTTCAGCAGGACTAATCTCTTTCAGCTGACTCGTAAGCAGCACCTCCTGAACCATTCTCCAGAACGTGAGGGTCAGGGCCCAAACTGCTGCATGCGAACCAAGGACACCCCGCCCCTGACGGCGCGCCGATCCCCTACCGGATCGGCGAGGGCGGTGGAAGGAAGGGGGATGTCAGAGAGGGGTGAGGGCTGATGGAGGGGGAGGGGCGGGGGGAGGCAGGGGGGGGAGGGGGTGGGGTAGGGGAGGGAGGTAGGAGGGAGGGTATGGAGGGGGGGTACGAGGGTCGGTTACCACGGGTGGGGGGAGAGGTACGGGGGTAAGGGGATTTGATTTGGAAGGAGGGAGGGTGAGGTCTGTGTGGTTCTACAGCATTGCTATCCGGTGTTGTGTAAGGCGACACCTATATGTTTTGTGCTGGCGGGGTATGGGGGTCGAGGGGTTGTGGTTGCTTTGTGTGCAGCTGGGTATGGACCGTGTCGTGGGTTTGGGGGGGTTGGTAGATGTGTCGGCGGAGGGGTTGAGGGTATCGCTTTAATTGGTTTGGTTTTTGGGGGGTTTTGTGGTTTTTCTGTTGCACTTTTAGAGGAGAGTGGGGATCGGAGGGTAGGTGCGGATACTTAGCTGGAGTTGGGACGTGGAGGACCGCCCAGACCAGCACTGTCTTCTATCGATCCACTTCCTCCTCCTCCTCCTCCTCCTCCTCTTCCTCCTCCACCTCCTCCTCGTCCTGATTCTGCTGCTGCTCCTCCTCCTCCTCCTCCACCTCCTCCTCCTCCTCCTGCCCCTCCCTGCCCTCTTCCTCGCACCTCCTCTCCTCCCACTGTCCCTCCTCCTTCTCGCTGCTTGCGCCGGCAGAGGGCAAGACCCTCGACTCCTCCTCCTCACCATTTCCGGGGGGTCCTGGGCGTCGCTTGTCGCGACGGCTGGGTTCGCCTCGACACGATTGCCCGAACGCGTTCCAGGACACGAGAAAGCGATAGGGAGGGGGCGAGGAGGAGGAGGAGGAGGCGGCGGATGATGAGGAGGAGTAGGAGAATGGGAAGAAGGAGGCCGAGGAGGAGGGAGAAGAACCAGGATAGGGCGAGGACGATGATGTGAACGAGGAGGACTCGAAAGAGGAGGACAAGGGGGAAGGCAGGTAGGGCTAGGCAAAGAGGCGTTCATTTCTTGTTTTGGCCGTTTGCTTCGCAGCCTCCTAGGAGTATCAAGTGAACCTAGCGCGACCCCAACACTGTGCATTATTTTTTGTGCTGGAGGCATGCGTGCGCAATGCAGCGTGATGACGAACTCTTCATGCAAGACGTCGCGTAGCACCGCCATTGCAATGATGGTGAGTAGCGCAGCGTATCAATGCATAACATACACGTGCTTTGCACTGCACTTGCGAACGCAACAATTCATCGCATAACATCCACCGTCCATGTCGGCGGAGTGTCCCTCTCTTAGCGAGTTCTCCCTTCCGCGGTTTGGGAATGCCCCTGGGGCGGATGTCGAGATGTGTGCCTCAGTGGTGAGTCAGGTTCGGGATTGACTTAGGTCGGGCGTGTTTTTGTACAGGGGGATTTTGGACGACAGATACAGCATAGTCAAACAATATTCAAACAATGCTCAACCATACTCAAAAAATCGTCCCAAGACTATTTTTGAATACTCCTCTTGAAGAAAGACACGCCCGACTTACGGATTGACCGAGCTCGCGTCTGGACGAACAACAAAAAGCATCCCTGGCGCGCCCGTGGCGCCAGGGGCGGCGCCACGGGCGCCGCCAGGGGGACACAGCGCAGATCCAAGAAATCCGCGAGGACCGTGGAAAGTTGATGTTTATGCCGTTTTTTTGTCCTTCGGTCGTCTCCCCTGCGGCGGAGAGGACCCTTCCCAGCGGGGGGACCCCGCCCTTGGCGGCGCGCACAGCGTGCCCATCCAAGACATCCGCGCGGAGCGTCGACAGTTTCTGTTTATGCCGCTGTTCTGCCCCGGTGACAAGAAAAGGGGGTGGAGGGAGGGCGGAAGGCGTCTTAGAAAGGCTTTAGAAGGCGAAGGCGCCGGCCCTTCAGCTATAGATGAGGCCCGCGCCCTCTGAGAAGCCCTCCCCCCTCCCCACACCCCCCATCCACAATACTACACAATATGAATACTACTCTCCTCTCTCCCCTGTGGCGTCCGGTGAATGTTCGCCTCCTTCGCGTACTGGTTTTTTACACAGGATTCCTGGGATTTGGGTTTTCGCACTATTTTTTCAAAATGCTGCTCTCGCTGAAGCGCTGGCCTCATTCTCGGGCTACCGCTCATTCCGCATCGTGCTCCCGCTGCAACGCTGGCTTATTGCCGCGCTTCCGCTCGTTCCGAATCGTGCTGCAGCGCTGTCGTCACTAGTTCCAACTCCATGCCACGGCATGGTTTTAGGTCCTTCCAAATCGGCTCCAAAGTCTAGAAAATGGCCTCCCGACAAAAACCATCGGAAGAGATTCCATATTCGGTGTCGATTCGTTGATTTTTTGGGCCGCAGAATGCCCCCCTCCACTTTGGGGCGTCGCCACGTCATGCTATGTAATGCTACGCGTTGATCTTCAGCACCATGCTATGCCATGTGATGCTCTGCCATGTTGCGACATCCGATTGTGCGAGTAAAGAAGAAATCTACGCCATGGTAAGGGATGGGATGGAGGGGTAGGACTAGGACGTCAGATATGACGCAAGCGCACCTAGATTGCCCCACCCCCCTCCCCCCTCCCGCCTCTGAGAAGCCCTCCCCCCTCTCCCCACTCTGTAGGGTGCTTCTGAGAAGCCCTCCCCCCTCCCCCCACCCCCCTCCTGCGTATGTCTGACTTCCCCCGAAGGGCGAGACGATGCATGAACGAACCACGGACAACGGAGCAGACGAACTCTGGAGCCTTTTAGGCAGTACATCCGGAAAGGAACGGACGCGAACCCAAGAACCGAAACGGCCCGCCCACAGGAACGCGCGGGGCGAAGCAGGGAAGCGCAGGGAAACACAAGGGAACGCCGAAGCAAGCGGACGGGAAGACTGCAAAGATCTGGCAGAACGTTCAGGGAAACTGAAGATTTCGCAGGGAGCGCCTCCAACTTACGGAAAGCCCAGCGCAAGCCTAGGGAAAGCGTCCTGACATCTAGAAGAAAAGGCTTGGGAAAGCGGGCGGAAAGCCCATGGAAAATGGAAAGAAGGCCTCAGGAATGACTGGAGAAAGCTGTCGGAAAGCCTAAGTCATGAAGATTGGGTGAGCGCCCGAAGAAGTATATCGTGAGAGAGCTTTCCGAATGTATACAGCGGACAGAGAATTTGATCACTGGTTGCAGATCGCACGGCTTTCTGCCTCCTAGGAAGGGGCGCACTCTCGAGCACGGTCGTGTCAGAGCAATCGGAGAGGTGGATAAAGAAGAGCAGGGCACCTTCTCTTGTTGCAGGGGTACCCACAGAAAAATAACAGCATCCACACGAAGCCCAACAAACCGAGCTCGAGCATCGTGCCTCGGATACCCAAGGTAATCTCTTGCCTTGCGCGAGAAAGCGTGCCCACGTGAGGCAACCACTGCCATAGTGAAATCAACAACGAACACACATGCTGCTTGTATGATGTGGAAATGGGTAGCTTGCGCTAGACATTCAGGGTTGGATGTCACATGTCAAACTGTGGGGCATGCTGACGTTGACCAAGATACACTGGTGCCAACGCAACGCTCTGCGTGACCGACGACCAAGCGTGCATGGTTCGGGCGCGCTGGGGACTCTAAACAATGACCAACGGGCAATGCAGATGGAACGATGCGAGGGGAACTCACCGTGTCAGAAGAGAGATGCTTCTCAGGTCCAACCGCCAATATGCACTTGCGGTTCTCACGATGAGGACGGACGCGCAGACGGGCCGTGACGGCTACACGTCATATTATTGGTGACGACGAGCTGCACGCTGGAACTGCAAGTCCCGATGGGGCCTGGAGTCACCTTCGACACGAATGGCCAAACATCGAAACTTGGGCGACTCGGCCTGCAAGCGCCACCTGCACGAACGAACAAGTGGAGATAGACGCAGCGGGCCTTCTGCACTTGTTTCCGCTGGCGAGCCAGTCGCCCATACTCTTGAATATCTGATGCCACTTTGGCTTCGAGTCGGGGTAGGTTTCTCGCAGCGCCTGCGCCCACCGGGGGTGCCGCGCGGCAGCCACGGATGGGGAGCGAGCCCAAGCCTCGCAAGCACGGGGCCTCCTCCGATCACCACCTGCCTCCCGGCCCTCTGGAGACACCCGCGTTGTGCAACAGGATGGACGGGATGCGAGGGCAGAGGTCTCCTAGACGGGGTCGGAGAAGATAGCGTCGAAGGATCGCGCCGCATCGCCGATACATCGGTGATGCACCGGCGATGCGGCGCGATCCTCCGACCCCATGTGCTCCGACGCCATCTAGGATGCCTAGAGAGAGGACCTCGTCAGGGGAGGGAGACAGACCGCGAGAGGACGAGGAGAGGACGATGCATCGGCCGCCAGGGCGAGGGCGAGGGCGGGGCAACAAGAGCAACGTGGAGGGCGATAGGTCAGATCAGGGGAGCCGAGCAGTGGGACAGACGGGCATGGGCAAGGGGGAAGAGCAGGGGGAGGAAGAGGAGGAGGAGGAGGAGGAGGAGGAGGAAACGGAGGAGGAGGAGAAGGAGGAAGCAACAGAAATCGATGAAGGGGAGGAGGAAAGGACCGACCAGCCAACATCGGCTGGAAAGCTTGGTTCCTCCTTCCCCACCAAAGAAAGGGGGTTGAACATGTCGGCGGCCCTGGGACAAGCGCCTCCCAACGACGGATGTCTTGCTCTGTGCGCATCCTCCTCCTCCATCCTCCCTTTTTCCTTCCCCTCCTCATCCCTCTCTTCCTCTTCCTCTTCTTCCTCCTTCTCTTCATTCCCGCACCATCCTCCTCCACTTCCTCATGCCCTATCCTCTCCTCCTCCGCTTCCTCCTGCTTCTGTGGTGGCACCAGGAAGTTGGGCCCGCTGGCGTGGCTCAGGCGCCCCCGAACCATCACTTCGCTTCTCCTGCTGCCGGTCCTCCTCCTCCTCCTCCTCCTCCTCCTCCTCCTCCTCCTCCTCCTCCTCCTCCTCCAGGGCGCCCATGGCATGGCTCCTCTGCAGCGAATGGCACAGCGCCCGCTGCGCCTGCACCCTCGGCACGGCGCCCGACCACGGCGCCCACGGCGCACACGGCACGGCACCCTCGGCACAGACGGCGCCCACGTCACGACGTGGGCGGTCGTCCGAACCCGTCCAAGCGACCAGTACGCCGCCGGGGGCGCCGTCGGCGCCGCGCCGTGGGCGCCCGAGCCGTGGGCGCCGTGCCAGTGCCATGACTGGGCGCCGTGCCGTGGGCGCCGTGCCAAACGGGGGGGTGTCGTGCTGAGGAGGAGGAGGAGGGGGAGAAGGAGGAGGAGGATGAGGAGGATGAGGAGGAGGAGGAGGAGGAGGAGGAGGAGGAGGCGGAGGAGGAGGAGGAGGATGATGATGATGAGGAGGAGGAGAAGGAGGAGAAGGAGGAGGAGGAGGAGGAGGAGGAGGAGGAGGAGGAGGAGGAGGAGGCTGTTGTGCGCCTGGCCAGCCAGCCAGCCAGCCAGCCAAACAACCAACCGACCCTACAAGCAGCCAGCCAACCAACCGGGGCCCGGACAACGCAAGTCCCAACTTTGAAATCGTGCTGCAGTATAACAAGATTCCCTCCCCCTGCTCCTCCTCCTCGTCCTGTCCGTCTTGCCCCTCCTGAACGTTCTCCACCCTCCCCATCATCTTCTGTGCGCTCGCTTTGCCCCCGTCTGGCGCGACCTGTAACATAAGGTCGAACTTGATCTTCTTGATATCAGGCATTACTACGCCCACGTAGATCAGCAACGCAAGCAACCGCACCAACATGTCCTGGAGGCGCCATCCAAGAGGACCAGGAGAGGAATGCGGATGAGGGGGACGGGGAGGATGGATGGGGGGCGAAGGTAGGTAGATTATGGGCAAAGGCAGGTGGCGAAGGCAAGACAACAACCTCCCACCCCCACCCCTTCCCTCAATCCATCCATTCCTCCTGTGGCAGGTTCGCGGGACACTCAGCCCCTTGACGTGACTCGCCCTGCCTAGCCCCACCAGCCCTGGACGCGGCTGGAACCGCCCCTCCCTCACCCCATGGAGCGCTGTGTGGGGGCCGGGCACCGGTATCACACGTGCCCGCCCCTCCTACGATGGTGGGTCTTCGCTCTGCATCCGCAGCGCCGCGCCGCACTCTCTCCTCGCCTCCCGCGCCTTTTCCCAGCCCTCCTGTTGCGCTGCGTCCTCACATTCCCGGTCCTACTGTGCTGCCTGGCCCTCGCGTGTGCTTTCGGCCTGCGGTGCCGCGCGCCCGACCCCGCTCCCGCCTCCCCCGCCCCGCCTGCCTCTTCTACGACGCGGTCATGCCTGGGGAGGCGTCGCAGGAGGAGGAGGAGGAGGAGGAGGAGGAGGAGGAGGAGGAGGAGGAGGAGGAGGAGGAGGAGGAGGAGGAGGGGAGGAGAGAAGGGGGAGGAGGAGGAGGAGGAGGAGGAGGAGGAGGAGGCGGAGGAGGAGGAGGAGGAGGAGGAGGAGGAGGAGGAGGAAGAGGAGCCGCTCTCTCTCCGCGCCGCAGGTTCTGGCACACATCTCGCTCGAAGCGGTGCTTCTCAGAGACCTGGACTCCTCCGTGCATCCCCCGGCGCGCAGCACACGAGGACAAGGGCCCCACGCCCTGCGAGACACTCGGCTGCACGAGGTTGGGCACTCTGCCGGGCCAAATTCTCCAGAGCGGCTCTTGCACTGAACCGAGGGTGCAAGTACAAATGATGCAGCGCGTGGCCCCTCACCAGTTGCTTCGTGTAGCAGTGCGTGCGTGTGTGTGTGTGTGTGTGTGTGTGTCTTTTTCGGGCTCGCCGCCTGCTTCAGCTTGTCCTGTCGCTCCTTGTCGCCCCCCTTGTCGGTCCACCCTGCTTACTCGCTCTCCCCGCCTTCCAGGCCCGTATGGCTCATGGCAACTTCCACCTCACCTTAGTTTTCTACTCACCGTCCCCTCCCCGCCGTTCACGCCCCGATGGTTATGGCTGCCGGCGGCTGCGAGGCCCCAAGTGGTCTCTGAGTGCTCGGGCGGGCGTAGACGCGCACGCTTCACTGTTTTCCGAACTTCTACGCCCTGTCGCTGCGCGCAGGGCCGCAACGCCCAAAAGTGTTGTGCGTGCGTGATGTGTGTGTGTGTTTGTGTGTGCGCGTGTGTGTGCGCGCGTGTGTGTGTGTGTGTGCGCGTGTGTGAGTGTGTGCGCGCGTGTGTGTGTGTGTGTTTGTATGTGTGTTATGTGTGAGTGTGTGTTGCGTTCGTGTGTGTCGTGTGTTGTTGTGTGTGTGTGTGTGTGTGTGTGTGTGTGTGTGTGCGTGTGTGTGTGTGTGTGTGTGTGAATGAGAGCGTGAGTGTGTGTGTGTGTGTGTGTGTGTGTGTGCGCTGTCGCTATCAGTCCCTCCCACGCCAGCTCTGGGCGAAGGGCGGCTTTGTGGAGCTCTTACTTTTCCCCCCCTTTCCCTACCCTTTAACTCTGCCCGCCAAGGCCCGCACACACACCAAGGAGACGCTCTCTGCCCTGTGTGTCTCTATGGGCCTCAATCGTGCCAGGCGGCTTCCGCACCACGTCTTGACGGGCCTCGGACTGGCCTTCAAAGTCCCTGGAGCCCCTCGGTGCCCCATCACGCTCGCAGAGGTGGTCGCCGCTGCGGCCTTCATCATGGAAGGACACTGGAGCCCCTCCCCGTGCCGCGAGCACGCCCGCTCTCTGCGGGACAGCGCCCTCGCTTGGGTGGGGCCAGTCGATCCGCGAGCTCCCCCGCCGCCTGGCTCCCCGGCCACGCCCCCAGCAGAAGCCGCTCGGCTCATCAGCGTCACGGTGGCCCATGGCAATCCGCCGCGTGGCCCGTTCGTCGTGCGAGCCCTCTACGTCGCACACTGGGCCTCTCAGCACGGCCGACAGACCGCCGCCTGGTTTACCTCTAGCTCCTCCACGCGCAGAGGGGCGCCCACTGACGGCAACGACTGGCCAGCTCTTACCGCTGCGTCTTCCCTCGCTGGCGCCGTTCCCGTGATGCGGATCCTCGCTAACGGTCTGCCCGGCCACGCCAGATGGCGGTCCCCCGCTGAGCGTGTGCCGCTGCTCTGTCAGTCCTGCCAAGGCCTAGCAGACACTTCTTGGCGCGCCCTGGGCCCCAGCTCCCTGGGCGCTGCATGGAGCTGCATTTGCTGCGGGGGCTGGGCCCACGAGAGCTGCCTCTGGGCCGCCTTTCCCGCCCGCGTCACCGATCCCCGTCAGCAGAATCTCTCCGCCGCTGTGCAGCTCGCGCTCGGTCTCTTCCCAGGTCCCATCCCCGTCGCGCCCTCGCACTTCGGCTGCTGCCCCCTCTGCGGGCTCGGAGAGCTGGAACCGAACGTCTTTGGAGTCGGTGCCTTGCTGTCGTTTCTCGCCTGGGTGCTCGCTAAGCCGCGCGGTTTTCCGGACTGTCTACGCGTCGGGCTTGCCGCCCCTAGGGTCCGCGCTCTGTGTGTGTAGCGAGCTTCTTGCAGCAAGTCTCACATCAATATTGTGTCGGTCTGGGCCCCCCAGCTACCGCGCCCGAGCATGCCGCCGCACTCGTCCGACGCGGCCTCCTCGCGCGCGCGCGACACCCGCGCCCGCGACATCGATGGCGATCTGGACCACGACCACGTTGGTGCTCGCCTGCCTCTAGGGCCCGCGCAGGGCGACCCAGAAGAAGACGCCTGGGCCCCCTCGCCTTCGCCACGCGGCACATGCGCCTCCCACCAGACCCGCTGGCGCGCGCGAGGGTCCTGCTCCCGCGCTGTCGGCGCCTCTGCCCCGCGCGCTGGCGCCTCGCTGCGGCGATGCCTCGCGGCGGGGCTCCCTGCGGCGCCCGGCGCGACAGTGGTAGTGTGCTGCTCGGCGACCCTCGGCGCGCCGCCTGGCCGCCGCCCTCTCCCAGGCGGCTCCGCCCGCCCCGTGTCGTGGCTCCTGCGCTAGCCGCCTCCCGGTGGGAGATGGCCTGTTGCCCCTCGTGCAGCGACCGCCGTGCGGCACTCGTCACTGCGAGCAACGTCGCTGCCGAACGCGAGATCAGCGCCCCCCGTCCCCTCATTGTTGACGCTGACACCAGGCTCTGGTCCTTCGAGGTCGCGTTCGACGGCGGCGCCAGGCGCCTCCCAGGCGGCGAGAAGGTCTCCGGCGGAGGTGCCACCCTCTGGAGACGACCCCCTCCCCCTCCCCGACGGGACTGCTCCTGTTCAGATAGCCGCCGCCGCTCTCGCCCTGCCTAGGGTCGAGAATTCTCGCCCAGAAAGCCGAGGCTTCTGCCTGCCAGTAGGGCGTTGCCGTGCTCGCCCGCGTCTCCGCCGCCCGCTCTGCCCGCGTCGTCGGCGACAGCCTCCCAGCTATCAGATGCGGCGCAGGCGCGGGGCGATGCTGCCGCGCCCGCCTGCAGGCTCAGATGGAGCGCGCCCTATGGACCGCACAGCACCACAATTGGACTCTCGCTTGGTAGGCGGTTCGCCTGAGGCGCAACTCCGCGAGCGACTCTGTCGCCGCGCTGGGCGTGTTCTGGGCGCGCTGCCTCTGGCACTCCGGCCTCGTCGAGCTCCGCGCCCGCGCCGTTTGGTTCTCCGACCCCTGGCGCACCTTGGGCGGGTGGTGCTGGGGGGTGACCCACATGGGGGGTGAAGAGAAGAATCCAAAAGGGGCCCTTCAGGGCTCCTTTTGGGCACCTTCTGGCTTTCAAAAGGGCTACAGGGCTATTTCAAGGCCCTTTGCGTCGCCCCCACGCTTGGGCCACTCCCCGTGACCGCCCGCCCGTGCGCCGGCCTCTCCCTCCCGCCCTGCTTCCCGGTCCCTGCCGCCCTCTCGCTCATGCCCGACCCCGCGCGGCAGAGTGCGTCCGAGCTTGTGCAGCTCCGCGAGGTGCCAGGTGCAAATGCGCGCGGCGCGCGGTCGCCGTTCGCGTCGTCGCCCCAACGAGTTGAGCAGGCGCTGGGTCCAGACCGCCTGGCTCTGCGAGCCCTACAGGGCGCGCATGAAAGGCGGCCGCCCCGCGTCCAAGATGCACTGCGAGGTCACCGTCCGCGTCGTGGCCCCAACGAGTCGTGCAGGCGCCGGGTCCAAGGCGCCTGGTTCAGGGCGGCCGCTCCGCGTCCAAGATGCGCCGCAAGGTCACCGTCCGCGTCGTGGCCCCGACGAGTCGAGCAGGCGCTGGGTCCAGGGCGCCTGGTTCTGCGAGCCCCGCGAGGCGCGCATCGCGGGCGGCCGCCTCGCGCCCGAGATGCGCGGCTCCCGCCTCGCTCGGACTCGGACAGCCTTCGCGCCGGCCTACATGGGGGCGGAGGGTTCGACTTCAGCCTTTCCCTGCGAGGCCAAGTATGTCTACGGCGTCGAGAAGCGCGACGTCTCTCTCGGCGCCCCAACTAACCAGAGCTACCCGCCGAAGAGGTCCCCAACTGCGCCTGCGCGCTGAAGCTCTTCGACCTCTGCGGGGGACCCCGGGGCACCGTCGTATGGTACGTCGGGGGCGACCGCGCGTGCCCTGGCGGCCCCCCCGTCGGCGCCGACAGCGACGGGCTCCGCGAGCATCGCCAGGCGACGCTTGGATCGGCGACTCCCTCACCAGTCGAGGGGGGTGGCTCTCCCCTGTCCTCGCCGAGGCTAGGCAACGCCGCTCTCAGTGGACCATCGGCGCCCCTGCCTCCCAATGCCGACCGCGCCGCCCGTCCCCGCTCGGGGCCCCGATCTATCCTCCCACGACCGAGCCAGGCGACCTTGTCTCCAGCCCCGCCCGCCCCACCTCTGCCGAGCCCTCCATCTGCCCGTGCGGTGGCAAGGCGCGCCCTGTCCGCGCCCCGTTCGCCATCGACGTTTCGCGGCGCCCGTCCGCTTCCGGCCCTGCGCCGCACGCTGCGTCTGCGGAGGCGGGTGCAGGCGACGAACCGCCCGCCCCAGCTTCTCCGCCCTCCCCCGCTGACCGCCCTACAGTGCCGAGGCTGGAGCTGGCTGGGCGCGCGTCGCCTGCCGCCGCCCACGGCTTCTCGCCCCCGCGGTCTATCTCCTCTCCAAAGGGTAGGTCCCTGGCGACGCCAGGGGGGCGCCATCGGCCCGAGGTCCCCGGTCCGCAAAGCCTTGGTCTACCACCAGAAGTGCATCGCCGACGCGGTGGAGATCCTGAGCGCGCCGCTCGAGACCTATCCCCCCTGAGACCCGCGGGCGCCTCGCGATTAATTGCGCCCCCGTCGCTGTATTTGACCCTCCTCGCGTGGCACGCCGCCGCGGCTCAACGCGCGCGCTCGCTGCGCCGACCGGTCGACGCCGACGCGTGGGCCGTCGCTCCCCCGGCCCTTGACGAGATCTCCCGGCCCGTCCTCGCCTCGCGCGCGGACGTCGGCCTCGACGCGACCCTCGCCCATGCCTCCCCAAACACTCGCCGGATGGGCGACCGGCGACCCCGTGTCGCGTCGAGGCTGCTGCGAGGGCCTGGCATCTCTACCAATTGGCAGCCCTGGGAGCCCTCGTTTTCGGATGACCGATTCCTGGCCCGCCGCGGAGCCTTGGACGCTGTCGCATCCAGCTTGCACGTGGCCATGCCCTTCACCTCCCCGCTCGACGACTACATCAACTAAACTATGACCGCCTTAACCCATTCGAGGGGGGATTTAGCTCTCGTGTCCCCACGCGCAACTGGTTCGACTGGGATCACCGTGCGTCTCCGCCACTCAACCCCAACCACCGTGAGGGCGATGTGACTCCCCTTGCGCCCATCAGGGCCGACCTTCCGCCAAACGCCATCCAGCGCCGCAAGGTCGCGCACAACGTCCACTTCTTCAACGCCTACCGTGACGACCGCTCCACCTGAGGATCCGTGGTTTCCCCCTTCCCAAAATTCACGGCCCTCCCCGCGCTCCCGCTCGCGACCCGGCTACGCATCAACTCTGTCGACTACCGCCGCCAGGTGCACGCGTGCTGGATCGCCTCGCTGGACGAGTTGGCGGCCCTCTCCCAGATGGCCGTGGGGTCCCTCTAGGCTGCTCAACGCGGCCCGTCGCTTGCGTCCACTGCCGGCCCAGCTCCTCAGAAGCTGCCCGACGTGGTCGCTCTTGTCGCTGTCGCTCCTGGAAACGCCCCGTTCGACCCCGACGGGCCTCCCGCTCCTCCCGACTGGCGGCGCCCAGAACGGCGCCAAGCAACCCTGCGACGCTCAGGCGCCGCCCGTTCGCTTAGAACTGCGCGGGGCTGCGGTTTCGGCCAGGGTGCCATCTGCGCTGGCGCGCCCTGCGCCCAACGCCGCACCAAGAAACCCTGTGACGCTCAGGCGCAGACCGTTCGCATCCCTGGGTCGGTTTACCGCCGGCCCCCGTCTGCCATCCCAACGGCGCAGCTCTTGTGGGAGGTCGCCAGATGGTCTGCCCTCGACGGCGAGCAGGCGGCGGCGCTCGAGCGCTCGGCCGCCTACCTCTGGGCCGTGGCCCACTGCCCACCCGGCGCAGGCAAAACGCGTCTCTTTGTTGCACTCGCCGTCCTCAACTCTCGGTCTCTTCCTCGGGAATGGTCTGACTTGGTCACTGGCGGCACCAATCCAACTGTCAACGACGTCGTAAGCAAGTTGTTGGACTTCTGCGCTGAAGCAATCCGGCCACTGGAGCGACCCGTCCTGGATCCGCGGGCACGCGGAGCCACCCACGCTGCCAGAGCAACTCCGCCGCCGCATTTTCGAGCAAGGAGGTTCTAGAGCCTTTGGCCGTCCAGCAAGGCCCACTCTGAGCCCTCTGGCGGTCGCAAAACCAGGCCCAGACCAGGTTTCAGCGAGAATCGGCATCTCATGCTTGGATAACTGTAGGAGGTGAAGGTTACACGAGAGATAACGATGGGGAAGGACAGAAGTCTCTTTCATTCCCCAACGCCGCAAATAGTACGCAGCAGGCGGAACCAGCCACGTAGGCAGATAAGGCGGCAACGCCTTGAACCAAAACGGCGGCTGCCGAGCGAGATAGAGGATGCCCTCGGGGCAGTCTCTGAAAATCAAAATGGCCCCGTCGGACCCGAAGGGCGCACCAAGAGGCGGTTCTGAGGGCGTCTGCGGAGATACTGGCATTAAGAATCTCTTTTCTTTCATCGATGCCCCCTGGAAGGGCCCCAAGAGGGCACCCAAAGAACCCGGAAGGCTTCCAATGTGCCCCCAAGATGGCTCCAAGACCGCCCCAAGAGGCAATCTTTCGGCCTCCAAGGGGGTATGGGGGGGGCGCTTATTTAGCATCCCAATTTCGCTGATCTATGGCCTCCGAGATGACCCCAAGAGCGCCCCCACGGTCCCCGATAGTGCAGCAAAAGTGTCCAAAAAGGGCCACAAAAGGCCTCCCAAACGGCTCCGAGATGGAAGATCGCCCAATTTTGACAGGCCGCGCAGCGCGGACCGGAGGTGCTCTGGTGCGCGTGGGGCCTGGTATCATGTGATGGGAGTGGAGCTGCGTCAGCGGGGGGCGGGCAACTTCGAACGTACCTCCAACTCAACCTTAAGAAAGCTAAGTGTGATGGCGGTTCCAAAAACGGCGAGAGCCGCGTGGAGCTCCCTCTGGCAGCAAAAGAATCGAACCAAGTTCCAGAGTCGGCTCGGAACAATAGAAGTCGGTTCCAAGCAGTGGGCGTCTCGTGCGGGACTTCCTCCAAAAGCAGGTTCGAACCGGGCTCGAACTCGGTTCCACACAATCGAAAAAGTGAGCGTTTCGCGCGGGTATTCCTCGAACAACAGGTTCGAACCGGGCTCGAATTTGGTTGGTCTTGTGCTTCTCTGCCACTTTTGTAATTTTTCTGCATCGTCTCTAAGAACGCCGCAGGGCAGAATTGGGAGACACTTTATCAATCACGCCCATGGGCAATACCAGACCGTCCTCTTGGTAATGTCAAGCCGTACTTTGAGTAGACTCTTTTATTCAAAGTGCTGAAGTGAGTTTTAGTAGCCATGCCGTTTGAGGCTGATCTGAGAGCCCTCCGGCAGGACCATGTGCAAACTTTACGAGTTTGGCACAACAGCAGGTTCGAGCGCGCCCGAATCCTGGCCCACGAACTATCAAAACCACACACAGCATCCACTGGGCAATATCACACCATCCAGGTTCGAACCAGGCTCGAACTTGGCTGGTCTTGTGTTCCTCTGTATCTCTCGTCCTTCCTCTGCATCGTGCCCAAGAGCGCCGCAGGGGCAGAATTGAGCGTACCTTGAATCACGCCCATATGAACTGACAGAAGGCTCCCATATCGACAGATCCACGAGGGCATTTCTTGTTGACTCCTTGGCCTGGTCAGGCTGACCCCGATCTTTGGAATGAAGGCTGCCGCCCCTCCTTGTTCCGCTGCCTGCTCCCACACTTCCCTGATCGATGCAACTCGCCTGGGCAACGCTGTTGGATGGACTTGTGGGGATACGTGAAGCGTAAACTCATCAACTTGAGCGCAGCCCGCACTGGTCAGCTGCCTGGCGCAGCAGGCTGGCGAAAGGCAGATCAGCTGACTTTGGGTTGGCCTTTACCCACATGAAATCCAACCCTCGATCATCTCGCAACGCATTTATTGAGTGCTACGGTTTGCTGACCGTATGCTGTGAGAGCCTGAATGCAAGTTGTGGCGCACCAGCTGCGACTGGAAACATGCAGCTGAGGCTTCGGCATCGATTGGGTCATCGTAGGCAGACCTGAACAGACAAATCTTCCTTCTACTCCTCGGTCCTCCCGCAAGATGCCTCGCCGAAAGTCCTGAAGGATCCCACTTTGCTGTTCTTCTGGGCGGGTCTATTCCCCTCCCCTCGTCGGCGTGTCAACACTTTCGTCGTCGTCGTCTTGGGCTTCGTCGTCGTCGTCGTCGTCGTCGTCGTCCTCCTCCTCCTCCTCGCGATGGGTGCCGCGGTCCCCACCCATGGCCATCATCGCGAAGGGCCACATCCTGCCCTCGGTCTCTCTCTCTCTCTCTCTCAAACGGCAGCGGTAGGCATCACAAGGATGAGGATGAGGGAGACAAGAAGGAGGAGGAGGAGGAGGAGGAGGAGGAGGAAGAGGAGGAGGAGGAGGAGGAGGAGGCCAGGGCAAAAGCACCCTGCTTCTTTGCACTCTGGAGGGGGGGGGGGGGAGGAGAGGAGGAGGAAGAGGAGGAGGAGGAAGAGGAGGGGGAGGATGAGACGAGGAGGAAGAGGAGGAAAACCAGTGTAAAACAAAGAGTCATCAACGATGTTGGAATTATCCCTCCCTCCAAGCTCCCTCTTCATAGGACCCTGCAACGGTCCATTCCCACTGAGGAAATTACCTCGTTGGAAGAGAACCGTTTGAAGACCCTGAAGCGTGGCACAACATTATTCTTGAGACTCCATCGCTACGGATCAGCCTGCATCGTGCTAGAATACCATTCTTGGGCTTCAACACCGCGAATCAACATGACGGTTGTGCCCCCATAACCCAGAGTCTCCCCAAACCACTATCTCTGGTGGGTTGACCATGGGAATCCGTGAAACTCTTACATGTTTACATCGAGTTTGCGCGGCGCTAAAGCGAGAACAATATTTTGAAAACCATCCGCCCTCAATCCGTGAAGCTCCTGCACATTTTGAAAACGAATGTGCGCGGCGCTGAAGCGAGAGCCACAGTTTGAAAACCACCGCCCTCAATCCGTCGAGCTCTTGCACTTTTTACAACGAATGTGCGCGGGTCTATGGCGACAGCCACATTCTGAAAACGAGTTGCCCTCAATCCGTGAAGCTCCTTCACATTTTGAAAACGAATGAGTGCGGCGCTAAAGCGAGAGCCACATTTTGAAAACCACCCGCCCTCGATCTGTGAAGCGGTGGGTAATTCATAAACTTCAAAGTCGTGAGTGGTAAAGAAATCTCATGCGAAACGCCAGGCCAACCCTTCGACTGGCCTCGGGGTGCGAAAGGATACATTATTTTTAAAGGACCAACCATGGAGGAGGAGGAAGAGGAGGAGGAGGTGGAGGAGGGGGAGGAAGACGAGGAGGAGGAGGAAGAGGATCAGCGTAAAACCAAGAGTCATCAACGATGTTGGAATTCTCCCTCCCTCCAAGCTCCCTCTTCACAGGCCCCATACAACGGTTCATGTCTGCTGAGGGAGCTGCCTCGTTGGAAGACAACCGCTTGAAGACCCTGGAGCGTGGCACAACATTATTCTCGGGACTCCAACGCTACGGATCAACCTAGCTGTTGCGGCTTGACGATCCTGAATCGTGCCAGAGCGCCATTCCTGGGACTTCAGCACCGCGAATCAAAGTAACTGTTGTGCCCTCTAAATCCTGAATCTTCACCAAAAAGCCAATTCTGGTACGTTGGCCATGAGAATATGTGAATTCCCGATACGTTTTTCAATCGTGAATATGCGCGGCGCTGGAACGAGAGATACATTTTGAGAAAGAGCCGCCCTCAATCGGTGAAGCTCCTGCACATTTTTAGAACGAATGTGCGCGGCGCTCCAGCGATAACCACATTTTGAAAACCACCCGCTCTTAATCCGTGAAGCCCTTGCACATTTTTCAAACGCATGTACGCGGGTCTAAAGCGAGAGCCGCATTTTGAAAACCAGCTGCTCTCCATCCGTAAATTTCTTGCATGTTTTGAACGAATATGCGAGGCGCTGAGGCGAACCGCATTACGAAAGGTTCCCCCCCCACATCCGTGAAACTCTCGACATTTTGTGCAACGAAGGTGCGCGGCGCTAAGGCGAAAACCGCATTTTGAGAACCACCCGCCTTCAATCCGTAAAAATGTTGCAATTTATTACGACGGATTTGCGCGGCGCGAGGGCGAGAGCCACCTTGGGAAAACCACCCGCCCTCACTTACTGAAACTGCTGCCAAATTTTGAACTTCAGGGTCATACGTGGTGAGGAAGCCTCAGGAGAATCGCCCGGCCGGCCCTTTCGGCTGGCCTCGGGGTGCGACAAGGAGATTTCTTAATCATATTATATCTATGGAGAGGGAGAGAGAGAGAGAGAGAGAGAGAGAAAGAAAGAGAAAGAGAGAGAGAGAGAGAGAGAGAAAGAGAGAGAGAAACATAACACATGGAAGAGGAGGAGGAAGAAGAGGAGGAGGACGAGCAGGAAAAGGAGCAGGAGGAGGAGGAGGCGGAGGGGGGGCGCATGGGCGAGGGGGAGGGGAAGAGGCGGAGGCGGAGGCGGAGGAGGCGGAGGGGGAGGCGGAAGGGGGAGGAGGAGGAGGAGGAAGAGGAGGAGGAGGAGGAGGAGGAGGAGGATGAGGATGAGGAGGAGGAGGAGGAGGAGGAGGAGGAGGAGGAGGGGTAGGAGGAAGAGGAGGAGGAGTCGCGAGCTCATGGAGCGACGCGCCGAATTCGGGGTACGGGCAGGCAGGGGCGGCTGGAAAAGGGTAGAGACGCGCAATCCAGCACAGAGCGTTTCGGACCCCAAGACGCCCATGGCCCAGCCGAAACATCGCGGCCACGCCGAAAGGGCCCGAAGTGGGAAAGCTCAGGGCCGAGCGAAGCCGAACGACCGAGGCCCCCGAGAAAACGAAACGCGCAGAAACAACGCAACGAGCCCCACGGGCTCAAGATATGGAAAGCAGGCCCAGCCACTGGATAGCGTCGTTCGTGACGTGGAACCTGCGGGGGAAGGGGAGGGGAGGGGCCTTTCCACCTTTGGGGTGACGGCCCTTCATAAAATTATCCTTCCGTCATTGCCTCTGAGGGTTATGAAGAAGGGCGGCCTCGGGGTCGCATTCAGAGAACAGCTGGGTGCGCGCCGTCCTGGCCGAGAAAGCCCCGCACTTACTGCACCCCGCAAGTTCCCCAGAGATGTGCAACGTGTGGCCCCGCGCGCTCTCGGGGGGAACCTCCCCAGAGCGCGGCAGTGGGGCCAGCGGCGCCGCCGCGTCCGCCCTCGCTGGGGGCGTGCCCCGACGCGCGCGCTTCGCGCCGCACGAGGTCGCAGTGGCCGCGGCCCCGTCGACGGCCTTCTGAAGCCTATCGGGCCCCTCCAGGACCTCCGCGAGGCGAGCCCTCGAGCGATGCGCGGCGGGGGCAGGCGGGGGTGGCGCGGCGGAGGAGGTGGCCACAGGAGAGGAGTGGTCAGAGGCGGGTCGAGGCAGAAGGGGGGAGGCGCCCTGGGGCGGGAATTGCAATTCCAAGCCCCTGGGGGCATCCGCGGCCCTGCCCGGGCGGCGCCCGCCGGTGGAGGGGGAGGATGGGGCCAGGAGAAAGGGGGGCGCAGGGGTCGGGGCCGGAGGACGAGGGGAAGAAAATACCCGAGGTCGTACAACCCTGTGAGACTCACCCTGGCCGGCGACGCCCTCCAGACGACGGCGGCGATCAGCCGCCGTTAGCGTCGTTTCTCCTGGGGCCAAAGGCCCCTCGATGTCCTGCGCCTGGAGCCTGCGCGTGGCCCCAACGCGAGGCCATTTCGACCTGGGGAGCTCGGCCGAGCACCCAGGTCGTCCAGATGTCGTTTCCTCGCGGATGTGGCGTCTGCGGGCAGGGCCAGAGACGCCCATCGCGGGGCGAACCTCCGGCTGGGGCCTCCCGAAGCCCCTGCGATTGCGAGCGTGGCGGGGACAGTGGCGGCAGCGCCATCCAGGTGAGGCGATGACAGGCGAGTGAAACTTTTCACTCGTCACCGCTGGAGCGCCTCCCTGCTGCTGTCGCCCGCGCTGGCCCAGTGCGCCTGCGCCAACTGCGCCGCGGGCGCCTGCCCGCGGTGGGCGCCCTGTCGCCCAGGGCGTCGGGCTCCGCCTGCAAGCTGCCCATCCAAGCAGCGACCTGCTGCGCAGCCTAGAGCAACCTCGTGCTCGTCGTGTGCTTTTTCGGGAAAGCTGTGCAGCTTGGCGCCCTGCTTCGCGGCGATGTCGGCGAAATCGTTGCCGACCTTGTCCATGCTGTCGCCGGCCTCGATGTAGGTCTGATGGCCCTCGATCCGGGTGACCTGCAGTTGGTCGGACAGGCCGCCCAAGTCGCCCATGGCGTGCCAGATCTGGCGCCACAAGTCCGCGCTGTCACGCCTGGCTTGGGCGCCATGCGCTTGCTGAAGGCGAGGGGCTCCGCGATGCCTAGGCAGTCCGCCTTGATGTGCGGAGGTAGTTGGTTATGCTTGAGCGCCTGCAGCACCGCGTAGATCTCTCCTCTCTGAGCCGTTTGCGGCGGACCAGGCAGTGGCCCGAACGCCGTCCCTCGAAGGCGGCGCCCGCTCAGGATGGCCATGCCCCAGCCAGCGCGGCTGGCCTCTGGCCAATAGAGGGGGCTCCGCGCAGACCCATCCGTGTAGACCACGCCCGTGATGTCCATGGCCTGGCCGCCGGTGCTGTGCCACCAGCGCTGGGGGTCCAAGGGTGGTGGTGCGTCAGGTAGCATGGCATGTGGAAGCAAGGCGCGCGGGAAGAACAAGTTGTTGTCCTCCGCGTTGGTCGCCATGGTGATGAGCCGTTCATCCACCGCTTGCTTCCGCATGTCATCCGTCATGGGGCACGTCCAGAGTCCGTGATGTAGAGCACCACGTTGACAACATCAAGTACACATCGGCGAATCCGAATTTCCCCTCTTGCGTAGCCGGTGTTGCGACCATTGGGCACCAATCTGGAACGAAGTGCACCTCTAGCTTTGGGAGATAGATTCCACGTGGTGGCCTCGGGCTGTGTGTGCATCATGGCAGCGAGAGGATCGATCCAGTAGCCTCGTGGGTCACGTGGTGAAGCAGGATGCTCAGGTGCATGTTCTTTTCTCTTGGCCTACTCTTCCCACTTGGCTGATCTGTAACTGCGCCTTGCCACGGCGCGAACCCATGTCGGTGCAACCTCCGCGAGCCTCAAAAGAATGCCATTTCCAATCCCCCAATGCACTGCAAAATCAACCCAAACGCCGTAAATTGAGGATGGCCGCGCCTGCAGGACCTGCAAGTGCCGCCCGTGGAACCGAAGCAAATAACAGTCAGGTCGTC